CCTACTGTGAACATTACCTCAGTCAGACGGGCCTGAAAAGTCTCATACCGTAAGGGTTTTGAGAGATAAGGTTCACCGTCATACCGGACAGGATAACGAGGCATGATGTTTTTGGCGCCCATTACCGGATGGGGTTTGGGAACAACTGGGTTAATTTTCAATCTTGATATTTGGTCCATGAGTAGAGGGATATCTCTATAGACCCCAAGGAATCCTAGTAAGTAAGTAAAAAATAAAGGATTGCTGATCTTATGCATGAAATTAAAATATCATTTGGTTAATTATCTTCACAAGTTAATTTTGGAAAAAACTGTAACGGTAAGTATCGAATAAAAAGTTTTAAAGTTAAATATATTTATTTAAAGTAAGAGCTCTATTAGTTGTTTTTTGATTTTTACCAACTTTTAATTTTTTGTATAAGTGATTAGTGTGATATTCTTACTGAACTAGTGTACCTTACTTTTTCATTAACCATTTCAGATCAAAAAAACCAAGATCCAGATCCCGATCAGTAAAAGGGTTGTGAGTAGTCCATCTCCCGGATTCCCTTTAAGTACTAATGAAGGTTGCCCTATGATATTTATTTATTCATTTTTTTTTATTACTGTTTGTCTTGTATGAATCATATAGAAGGGACATTCCCGTAGTCATATTGGGTAATTCAGTTTATTGTGTAAGGAATGTAAACCCTAACGTTATTATTCGTTTCCGCATTTAAATTATAAATTCATTTTCTTTAAGGTTCTGAACTTTTACATTCTCTGTCTTATCTACTACCCATGTGAGACAAAAAAATAAAAATGAAAATGAGCCACTTTTACAGTTGATAGATAAGACAATCAAAGATATAGCATAAGATATTATAATTTCTATTTAAAAATTTAAGTCACTTAATGATGGATCTATAAATTTAGTTCTAAGCAATAATGATTTTTGAAAATTAAAATAATGATATTCTCGTTGATTCTAATAAAAGACCTTACTTAAAAAATTATACAAGGAATTCCCTTCACTCATTGTTCAATTATTCTTCCTCTTATGGATTTTGTTATTTTTAATTATTTCACTATTTATTTAGAATCATTGATTTTAGAAGCATTTTTGTCTTCTCAAAACAATCTTAAGTTTTGAAAGCTTAAATTAGGAAGACAAGTTACAACTTTGACATTTTTTTTCTACTTTAAAATTTCAAAACTTGAGAAAGGATTTTTCGCAAAGTAGTTTAGGATGGTACACAACAAGAAGGTTCTAAAATGGACATATTCTAATAGTAAAATATATCTACATAATCATAACGCTTATTTACTATTAAGGTATCTAGCTTATTTAAGAACTAATATTTATAGGCTTATTAATGGTATGGACTTATTACTTCCTATTTTTTAGGATTTTATTTAGTTACTCTCTATTATAGGTCATGCCAATTGATTAACTTACTAATTATTTAAATTCTAAGGTGGACTTAAAAATTTCTATTTATATTGCAATATAGAGTTTATCAATAGGGTATCTTATTTTAATTATTTGGTAGACTATTGATATGATTATTATATAAATATTGAGTGTTTTAATTTGTAATTGAGATCTAAGGTTTTCATTTCTGGTTCTTAGCAAATTACCTCTAAGTATTGTGTTCAAGCTTTCTTTGTCCTATATCAAATAGTCTACTCACCCCTAAGAATTCTAACATTATACTTTAAAGTTAAAGACTAAAGAATTCTTTGTTTTCATCTAAAAATATTCCTAATATCATATAATGTCCCTAAATTCTTGTAGCGTGAAGTTGAATACAATTTGAAATCTCTTCATTTATCCATCCAATTCCAACATACCTAAATTCATTAACCAAATTACACTTGTTTACTAAATTAAGCAAGAAGTTGTTCTTATAATTCCACAATTGATTTCACAAACTATTCTGGCTGCCATGAACCAGCAGGTGTTGCCATTGTCCACCAATATTAACACTAAGTTTCATGCTTGTAATACTATATATTTTCAAGGAATTACTTGATGTATTCCTCTCCAATGCCTATAGAGAAATTTTTTTCTCAAATCATGTCATCCTTATCCATGCCCATCCCATTTTTCTCCTTCTCTCATTCCCACTTTTTCCTCAATAACTTTGATAGCTAGTTATTCAAGCTTATATTAATGTTGCAGAAAATTTTGTCTCCACATCTATAACACTTAAAAAACTTGGACCATAACTAGCCTACTATTGTGTTGTTTAACTTCATTTTCTTTAAGTTTCTATTCGCCGTCTTCCTGCGGAACGGGCTCAGGAACCAAGCCCTCCTGATCTGAAATGGTTAAGTAAGGAATGAGCTACAGTAGCCTAGTAAAGATGTCACACTATCTCACTGTCACAGTAATAAAGGTTGGTAGAAAACAAAAACGATCAATGGAGCATAATTCATAACAAATTCATTTATCAATAATAAAACCCTTTACGCTCTACTTACCTCGGTGGGATTCATGAAAACAACTTAAGAAATAAATAACATTATAAACATCATAAGATCATGCACACTCTGTAACATAACACATATCATACTTTTGTATTTCAATCATCAGGCAACAAATTTCCTATTTTATCAGCCTATTAGTATATATGGGGATCCATAGGGGTCCCCGCTACATGTGAATCATTCACCTTAATTCCAGGACCGTCCTCATACCTCATTCAGTATGAGTACCAAAACCATAAACCTCAATACCCCGTTTGGTATGAGGGTGAAGCGGGCCGTCCCCATACTCCGTCCGATATGAGCGCCAAAATATTTAAAGTCTCCATACCCTGTCCGATATGAGAGACCCCGTTCCCGGTAGGGTTCCCTATGGACCCGGTCCGTCCACCATCTCCCAGGATATCTAGTGAGG